TACGGTCTCCTGCCGACTACGGTCTCCTGCCGACTACGGTCTCCTGCCGACTACGGTCTCCTGCCGACTACGGTCTCCTGCCGACTACGGTCTCCGGCCGACTACGGTCTCCTGCCGACTACAGTTCTTCAGGCCTTTGTCGCCTACTATGGTCCTTCCGACCTCCATCAACAGACAACGGTCTTTCTGACTCCGGTCTCCTGCCGACTACGGTCTCCGGCCGACTACGGTCTCCGGCCGACTACGGTCTCCTTCCGACTACGTCTCCTTCCGACTACGGTCTCCGGCCGACTACGGTCTCCGGCCGACTACGGTCTCCTGCCGACTACGGTCTCCGGCCGACTACGGTCTCCTGTCGACAACGGTCTCCGGCCGACTACGGTCTCCTGCCGACTACGGTCTCCTGCCGACTACGGTCCTTCAGGCCAAACAAACCTGTATATGTAACTCTTACCATGTAATGCAATCTATATGATGTACATTTGCTACATCAATCCAAGGCCTTCTCCTAAGGAAGGGCCTCATTTGTAATCGACTACAAATACTAGTGGATTCATTCAAACCGGGCCAGGCCCCGTGGTTTTTCTCCCTTTTTCAGGGGTTTTCCACGTAAAAACTTTGGTGTCTCTTCTGAACGCTACACCCTCTCACTTATCTGATTGTGTGCTGGATCTTCGTACAACGCTAAGACGTTAAACTATATATTTCTCTACCGCCGTGAATATTCCAGGACGCAACAAAATTATAAAAAAATAAATAAGATATATTCAACATAGATTTTATGAGTTAAGTAAAATAACTATATTGAGAATCACAAAAAAAAGGGTTAAAATGAAAATTTTCTTTAAGCAATAAGTTTGTTGTCAAAGCCTTTTATAAAATTTAGCACGCACAAATGAAAGTTATAAGAGATCAAATTTATTACGCGGAAAATTAAAAAAAAAAAGAAAAAATCATAGAGTAAGCGCAATTACAATAATTTACTATATAATAATTATCTCTTCATCATAATTGAATAAGATGAGATTATACATAGTTAAGAACAATTCTCTGATTCACCTTATAGGGATAAAAAATTTGGTTGTTCGCAATCAGTTTGTTAAAGCCAAACAATAGGGTCTTATGTTAATATTCAAGCAATAATAATTAGATGACGGTAATTTGATAATGGTGGTAGGTATTATTAATGGAGGTCATTGACATTGATCATTTAAAATTGTAATAGAGTTCTTGTAGAGAATAGAGCCATATTTAAGCCTTTTTTAGAGGGACATTGGTAAATTTAATCAAAATAAAAATACTCATCATAATCCATAGTGATCACCTTGATGATAGATCATTTATCAAACATTTAAATGCTTTTGGTATTAGAATCGTGTGACCTCGGACTCGTTAGATTCATTTCATCGAGCCGCTTGATTTCCAAGATTTGACACGTTCAATTAATATAAAGAAGTTTTCAAATATAATCCATGTGCTTGATTTGAGCTCATTTTGAATCTGATCGAGTCACGGGTTTGGGTTTGGGTTCAACCCGGAATTGACCCGACACTGTTCGATCCAACCCATTTTTGCAAACGAGTCGATTTTTCAGACCCGAAATCGACCCGCTTCGGTTATGTTTTACTAAATTTTTTTATTTAATTTGATTTATTTAAATATTCTTTTTGATAAAATTTTTTAAAATTTATTTATGTACTCGAACTTACTACCAACTATCAATTAATTGAGAAAAAAAAACTTTAAAATTTTATCATCATGATTTTGGATTGACTATCTATTACATGAAATTTTATTCTTACAAATCAAATTTTATTAGGATATTATGCCATTTATTAAGAAAATTAAATCTTTCAAATAATTAAATAAATAAAAACAACACTTTGCATACTTTGGCTATATACTTTTTTTAAAATTTTAATATCAAAATACACATATATACATATGTACTCAATACCTAAATTGTATTATTAAGATCAAAATACTCAATCAACTAAATATTTCTATACATAATTTATAGGTTTTTTTTTTTATGTTGATACTTCATCAAAAATCAGCTCAATCAAACACAAATCTCGATGTACATCTAAATTGGAAGCTTCTATAATTAAATTCATGTTCATCTAAATTATGATTTCAATAAACTTCACAAACAAACTGATTGGCTCAACCAAACGAATCAAAAGACACTAACAGTGATATGATCCAAGTCCAAATGAACTATGATCAAGCATTTGAGGCGTGATTTGAAATTTTAGAATATTAATTGGAGAATCAAATGACCTCTAAATTTGGCATGCTTATAGTCAAATCGAGCGGCTTGATGAAATGAATTCAACGAGTCCAAGATCTTTCAGTTTTGACGATGTTAAGATACTTAAATTCTGAATGAATGATTTATGATTAATTTAATCAATATAAAATGTCCAATTTAGTAGTCATTATTTTCTTCATATTTATGGATCATGACAGTACTCTAAAAAAATTTATAAATATAGCCTTACTTTCTACATGAAGGAGACCCTAGGCTAAAGATTCAAGATAACTTAAAAGTTTGAAGAATCGTAGAGCTCCAACCGATAACCACCACTAATGAATATTCATTGGTCAACTGTTTCCATTAGACCCCAATTGACCAACCATTCTTGTTAGAGAAAGGTTGACTGCCACCATTAGACCTCCACGAGACAACCGATACTATCAGACCTTTCGCCAGCAACCACATCAAACGTTTTGCAACCCGACAACCTTCGCCGTTGGACTTTCCTCAGCGGTCGCTATCATCAAATGACCACCACCCAATCAATAATGTCAAACATGTTGTTATTCAACCTCAAATGTAAGACAAACTCTGCCACATTTTATGTCAATTATCCAAATTCTAATAATTTTGTTATTTTAAGTAGAGGGATGAGCCAATTTTGTACTAATACTCACATAGTGGAATCATCTCAGCCGTGCAAGACCTGTAGTTTTTTCCTTTAATATGTTCACCACATTAAAACTCTAGTATTATCCATGCCCTTTCATTTATCTATTTATGTGTTGAATCTTCGTGCAAAACTAAAACGTAAAACTTTCTCATTCTATCGTCATAATTTTTCTATCTCTCAACAAATATAAACATACTCAGCCACCTAAACCTAAACATTTGACTGTGATCTAATCATTATCATGAATAATTACTATCAAATTATTAATAATTAAAAACTAGAAGCTGTTAGCTTGAATTATTAATCTTTTAATCCCTTCTGACCTAACTGCAAGCAAGATTTAAAAGGTCAACCTTATTTGATTTGACTTGAGCCAAATTCAAGCTGAAGTCAGATAGGGCCCACAGGATATTAGATATTGCACCAGATGGCCCATTGGAAGGACCTAAACTGGCCTGACCATTTCTTTATCATTGAATTTTGGACTCATATAGCTGGGTCCAGTCAATAAGCTTAGCTGGCTTAGCTGGAAGCTGGACCAAATCCAAAATAATTTTTTAATTAATATTTGATAATTATATATATTTATATTAAAATATTTTTTATTGGCATTCTTGGCATAATAATGTAAACATACTAATAATTCTCAAGAGCATTTTTTTTCTATTTTTCAAATACTATAAATAATGAAAAAATATTTACATATTTTATATTTTCAAATATTAAAAATATTAAAATTATGTTATGCAACTTGGCAATGTGGGGTGTAGGATGTAAGGATAGCAAATTTATGTGTCATGCATATAAAAATAGATATTAAACACTTTAAAAATCTATATTTTTTTAAATAATAAAATAATTAAAAAGGATCTAACCAATTTCAAATTTTAATATATAACTGCTCTTACACTCTCCTATTTTATTTAAAATAATATTATTTCCATAATATCAACTCAACATAGATAAGTTACTGATTAAAATATTTTAAAATTATCATCATGCAATTAACTAATGGAGGATTTACATATATACCCCATAATTTTCATATATTATATATCAATTGAAATTTTTTTAATATTTATTTATATAGCATATAAATCATTAAATTACATCAAATTGTTCATTTTTTAATTGAAGTAATATATAAATAAATATAAAAATTATACAAAGCAATTTGAATAAATAAAACTTAAAATATCTAAAAACATTTGTTAATTAAATAAATAAAGAAATATCATCTCTTAACTACATCAAATTTTAAGCATCTAAATTTGTTATTAATGGGTAAAAGTAGGAGGGTCAATATTTGACACGACCCAAAAACTCGACCCGAATATGACTTGAAAATTTCGGGTTAGAATCAACCCGTTTGAGAAACGGGTCGGATTCGAATTTGAGATTTCGATCAGTTTATAAAACTAGGCCAGGTTCGCGTTGACGCGAAAACCTAAAACCAACCTGGGTAGACCTGGGAACCAACTCGTCGCGTGATTGAGTGATAACAGTCCGCGTCTGAGTCAAACAATCTGATGTCGACACATCATAAGCGTCATTTCATTCATCTCGTGAGTGACCGACCCCGTGCCCTGCAGTCATGCACAATGCGGTGTCCAGTCTTCGTCGCACCGCCTGCGATCCACTTGCCAGTGGCCCTGCAAACCCTAACATACAAATGGATCGTGTCGTTGACATAACATGAGAGTGAGTGATCGCGTGACCGTTGCGACGAGACTCCCAATCATCTTCGACATCATCCTTACCTTCATGTGTCGACGTCGCGTATGTCAGAGCTGAACCTGACGGGTCATGTCCAGGTTCAGGATTCCGACCCGTTTGTAAAATCGGGTTGGGTTCTGGTTGACCCAATTGGTCCCAGGTCAATTCCGAGTTTGACCCGAACCCAACCCTTGACCCGATTTTGACACCCCTAGATAAATGATGTGAAAAAAAAAAACACCTTCACATTATCCACTATATTTACATAGTCATGATTTCTTCAATATACTCCTACTTGCCATAGTTTTGCATTGCAGAAGTTCTGAAAGAGCAGCAGGAAGAAAAGGCAGCTTGATGAAATTACACAGATATATATCTTCATTTAACTAACCAAAATCATACCAATGGAGATGAATGCTGTTCATTACATTGTACATATCGTTACAGAAGCTCACATGTACAGCAACAAATGAACCGTCACTTCAAAAACTATTTTCATTTAAAGGAAGGACATGACCGTTACCTGCCAAAGATTCAAAAAAATAAAATAAAATAAATAATTGAAATCTAGATAATAGTTGAGTTTGCAACTGTAAGAAAAGGAAAATGGGCTCAAACTCGACTTATCAGCTTACACTAGAAAAAAAGATTGGTGATCAAAGAATATACATTGAAATCACTACTGATTTACTGAGGAATTCTCGAGTGATTTCTCCTGGCTATCACTTTCGCCCTGCTTTCCCTTAAGCATGCGGGGAGGAGTGCCAAATGAAACAGATCGAGAAGTGCTTTGAGCAGGCGGAATCTGAGGGTTATGGAGCTGGGAAGCAAGGTAGTTGAGTGCAGTTACAACGTCAGCTATCAGAGGCCTCATGGTGGGTTGCTCTTGAACGCACATGGCGGCGACGGCGAGAGCTTGGTATAAGCCTCTTACAGGATACTGGCCCTGAAGCATTGGATCAGCCATTTGAGAGAACTTCCTTCTGTCTTTGAAGAGGGGGCGGGCCTACAATCGCATAACATTTTAGCATTTAGTCATTGTTGACAATCTTTATAGCAATGTTGATTACTCTTTTTCTTCTAATCTCATGTGCACTGAATATGAATAAGCAAATAAAAAAAGATAATTCATAAAGCTGAATTGAAAGAGGAATGACAATAATGATGTCATAGAACTAATGTTGCATTTGGGACGGCTTTCTTATTGCTTCTTAAAGCAATTTTTTTAAGAAGCAGAAAGAAAGCCGTCCCAAACAAAGCCTAAGTAAATAGTACAAGAACAACAACAACAACATCAAGCCTTTCTTTGTCCCACTACATGTGGTCGGCTACATGAATCCATTTTCGCCATTGTGTCATGTTAAAAGTCAAATTCTGATTTAAATCTAATAAAAAAAATATAATTTTTAAATATTTTATAACCAAGTCTTTTTAGGCATACCTCTACCTTTCTTAACATAAGTCAAATCTAATACCTCAACTTTCCTAACCAGGTCATCGGAAGGCCTCGGTTTAATGTCACCACTCTCTCTGATCTTATATTCCACTGGAGCTACTCCAACCTTTTCACGTATATGCTCATTTAGTATTCTATCCCTAAGGGTAAAGCCACTCATCCACCTAAGCATCCTCATCTCTATAACACTTAACTTAGTATTATGTTTCTCTTTTAATGGCCAACATTCGGAACCATAAAGCATTGCAGGTCTCACCACCATCTTATAGAATTTTCCCTTAAGATTGAGGGGGACTTTTCTATCACACAACAAGCCCGATGCATAAAAAAATAAATAAAAAAAAAAACAAGGCCAATGCATTCCTCCACTTCAACCACCAACCTAAATAATACAAACCATACAAATTTTGAACTACTATGATGCTTTTGTGGGTTTAGTTCCATCAATATTCATTCACACCTCTTTATTCAAAAAAGGAACTTGATTCCATTCAGTTATTTATTTATTTATCTACTTTAATTGCCAGCGTACATGATGGTTCCCTCTATATCTACATGACAAACTCTTCAAGGATTTGCAGTACAAAGCTACAACATATAGTATAATTGCGAACTTCTCTACCCTCGGGCTTTGTTTGGGACGGCTTTTTTCTTGCTTCTTAAAATGGAGTTTTAGTTTTTTAGACTTCGTTTGGGACGACTTTCTTTCTGCTTCTTAAAACAGCTTTTTAGCATAAAAATTTTTAATTTTTTTAATAAAAAACTGCTTTATGAAGCAGTAAAAAAACCGTCCCAAACGAAGCCTTGGGACAACTTTCCTAATGCTTCTTAAAACGGCTTTCTTGTACAAAATTAAAATTTGTGTACTAAAAAGCCGCTTTAAGAAGCAGTAAGAAAGCCGTCTCAAACGAAGCCTTAGTTTAGTACAAAAACTCTGTTTTAAGAAACAAGAAGAAAGCCGTCCCAAATGAAGACTAATTCTACTAGTAGAAAAAGGCTGGTAATAATATTTATACATGCAGGTGATTATAAGAATTGAATGGTATGCCTTGAAATATAAAACTGTGTTTAGACATAGATTTGATTGGCAAATTGTTCTTACCATCCAATAGGGCAAGTATTCAGATTGTTCCATCAGTTCAGTTCACCGAAGCCTAATGATCAATTTCAGCTTCACCGATCTTGAAACCAAACCTACTAAAGTCTAGTCCACAGCCAAGCCACATCATTGCATTCGGTTGGTTCCATTCAATAGTGATAAAAACAAACTTCATAGAATCTAGATTCCGAACTGCAGCAGTTCAGAAACAGAAGGGGTATACAATCTGAAAAACAGTCCAGTTTCCGAGAGATTATTTTGTACGGTGTCCGAATGCGTCCAGAGGCTAATCCAGATGCACTACGTCATCCAATGCACTGTGCAATGGATGACATGGCGCATCCAGATTGGCTTCCAAACACGTCCGGACACTGCACGTAATAATTTTTTCCCAGTTTCCGGATTGTAGTGAGGATTTAGGATTATTGAATGTTGTTCGGTTTTTCATTCAATTCAATCGAGGAAACAAGAAAGCAGAACAAACTGCCAAAATTTTATACTGAAACAAAAATTAAGTAAAATGTTCAGTTTGATTAGAAAAGAAAATCAGGCAACAGATGAGCATAGTCAATGAATTAGCAGTGAACTAAATGTTTAACAATATATGATGTCTGTTAAAACTAATGACGGTTTAAAATGAACCAATTCAGGAAAGAAGCATAACAATATTATAGAGAAAGATGAAAAAAACTCAGATTTCATAAATTTACGAGGGGTGTTATACACTCACCCATGCAACTAGATTCTGCTCCCCTGCAGTTCTAGAATTATCAATAGCTCTCCTTCCTGTGATTAGCTCTAACAACACAACTCCAAAGCTGTAAATATCTGATTTAACTGTCAATTGACCAGTCATTGCATACTCAGGGGCACAATATCCATAAGTACCCATCACTCTAGTAGAAACATGTGTGTTATCACCAACCGGAGCAAGCTTCGCCAAACCAAAATCTGATAACTTTGGATGATAACCATCGCCGAGTAAAATGTTCGAGCATTTCAAATCTCGATATATTACTGGAGGAGTGGCTTTATCATGTAAATACTCTAGCCCCTTTGCAGCACCAGCAGCTATTTTCATTCTCATATTCCAATCAAGTCGCTTCCTTTGCGGAGAAAGATCTGTCACATCAGATAAATGAGATAAATACAAATCAAAATTCAAATGAACACAAAACAACACTCTTCTTAGGGCTCACTTCAGTCTGTTGTATGTAGAAAACATGTTTTAGAAAATAATGAGTTCATTGTTTTCACTCATTTTATGTAAGAAATCAGAATGCATCTAGATTTCGATGGTGTTTGCAGAGTTTAAAATCAATAATATTTTCAAAATACATTCAACCAAATAACAAAATCTTGAAACTTCCAATAATTTTTAAGTACATTCAACCAAATGACAGAATCTAGTAACTTTCATTGCTATTCAAAATATGATTTCTAATACCAAGCTACAAAAATGCTCCCAAGGCATACAAATTATGCAGGAAGAAGGAAATGAGAAATTGCGCACCGTAAAGATGGTCTTCTAATGATCCCAGCGGCATATATTCATAGACCAAAAGCCTTTGGTCGCCATCCGCACAATAACCGATTAGATTAACAAGATTAGGATGGTGCAGTAAACTAAGCATCAATACTTCTACCAAGAACTCTCGATTTCCTTGCAAACCATTTTGATCAAGTTGCTTTATAGCCACAATCTGGAGGAAAAATAGTCCATGTAACATAAGATTTATAGACAACTCGAATGAAAAAGGCAATAAAACTGAATAGTTAACTTATACCTTAGTGTTCAACAACAGTAAGCATTTTGTGCAAGGTCATAATAAACAATAAGTGGTGAATATAATAAAAAAAAAGTATAATAAACAAAACATTAAGTAAAATGTGATGAAAACAAAATACTTTTTAGTTAATACATAATCATATTAGCTTTATGACAGCTATTTGGGGTGTGGTAACTTTCATTTTTCATATTAACTACTAATTCTACTTTGGACAAGTCAAATTCCTTCATTATAAATTCCTCAATATAATTAACAAGAAGTACTAGAACACAATTTCATGTCTCAAATAAGTTGGTATAGAAGCCTATTATCTTTACGAGACCGTGAATTCATTTTATTATAACCATGATGGCTTTAAAGAATAATAAAAAGCATCAGAGCAAATATAAAACAGAAAAAAGATAGAAAAATAGAATGAAACGGTCATCTTTTGCAGTAATGAATTTGCCTTGGAAATAAAATCTAGAGCATTGTAGAACAAATAGATGAACGGAAGTTACAAACTAACCTGGTTAGAGCTCTCCAACCTACCCTTATAAACTTTGCCAAATCCACCTTCTCCAAGAAAGCAATCGGCTCTGAAATTCTTTGTTGCAGCTGCCAGTTCCCTAAAGGCAAATGTCTGAGCAGAAATCTGTTGAGACCCACTATTTGATAATAACTCCTTATATTCAGCAGAATCTTCCTTTTTGTTATCCACTGATTGACTTGTCTTAGCAAACTTCTCTACTGATGAAATTAACAATAGAATATGATCAAAATATTGTAATATTAGAATCAAGCAGAATAAGTTTATTAAAAATCTGTATTAAGAGCTCATTCATTTTCTTTCGGATTAAAATTATGTTTTAGAAAATGATGACTTTATTTTCTCTCATTTTGACTGTAAATTGAAATCCTCATTTTTTAAGGATTTTAACTGTGTTCATAGAGATGAAAATCTGTATTGATTTTAATTAAATCCAATTAATCAAATTATAGAATCGAGTAAAACACATTGCTTTTAAAAATATTTTCTAGGAAGAAGCACTTTAAGGTTTTAGAATTTAACTACAGCTAATATTTAGTCCAGTCATTTTCAAAAACAAAAAATAAAGAAAACCTGTTAGTCATTAAAATTTATTTTTTTAATCCTACCCTTTCTTCTGTTTTTCATCTTCAATATGATTATTTTCTGTTAGCATATGGTCATCAAAAGACTAAATATTTCTATTGAATTTCCTCAATCTGGCTATTGAAAATTTGAAATTGTTTATTAACAGGCATACTGTAATAGCCATATACAAGGAAGAAATAACCAAACATCAAAGCGAGAGAGAGAGGGGGTGAGCAGATGACATGTAAATTCAAAGCTCAAATTATTCATGAGAGGTAGATAAAAAATGCATATGATATCAGAAATAATTATTTAATAAAATTTGAAAAATAAATTTAATAGGACTAAAATAAATAAATAGCGTTCAATCATATGACCTAAGGTTAATTTCCTCTATTTGCTAACCTCAAGCAATCAATAATAGTAATTCACTGATGAAATGACTAAGATGACTAACAAGATCAAACTCTTTCAAGCAACAACAACAATAAGCCTTTTTCCTATTATGTAAGGTTGGCTATATGAATCCTTTTTCTCCATTGTGTCATATTAAGGGTCAAATTATCACCTAAATTTAATAAAGAAATGTCATTTCTAATATTTTCTAACCAAACATTTTTAGGTCTACCTCTACCTTTTTTAATATAAGTCAAATATAATTCATCTACTTTCCAAACTGGGTCATTGGAAGGCTGCTATTTTATGTTTATTTTAGACCCAAATCAAACTCTTTCAAGCACCAAATGATTATATTAGACCCAGAATAACCATTCTCATTTGCACGGATCAGCTATATAATACAGACATAATTAGGGGTGGAACCACTTGGGCGAATGCTCACCCTGAAATCTTTTTTTCTTTTAGAAGAATAAACATTTTAACTATTTTGCCCACCTTCAATAAACGCAGTTGCCCTAATTCTAAGAAAAATGTTTCTTTTTCTTTTTCATATATAAAATTAAGCATTTCACAATCCTATTTTGCCCACCCACAAAAAAAAGACTAGTTTGTCCCCTGCACATAACATTCTCCTCTAGGGTTTGATGAAAAATTTCAATCACTGATAAAAAAGTACAGTGCAAAAATATAATAGAAAGTGAAACCCAACGTGAACAACAAAAAAAGGCAATGGCATGATTCAATCATTTTTCATCAATGCAAAGCAATCTGTACATTCTTTTCAAAACAACCATAGCAACACAGGCTAAAAAAGCCAGCACAATTCTACAATCTATCAAAACCCCAAATTTAAAGTAATTTTTTAAAAAAGAAAAAAAAAAACCCCAAAAAACAATTGTAACGAAAGCGCTTCCTGATTAATCAAATAATCACTCCGAACTCAATCTGATACAGTCTAAATAAAGCCAAAATATTCCAACTTGATCTCCCAACAGATAAAAAAAACCCAAATATTTCCATTTCTAGAATCCCCCAATCGAAAAATGACTGGAATCCGAACAAGTTGAAGTATATTTCTACTACCAGGGGGTGAGGCGTTTGCGATCTGATCCTTCTTCTTAGTCTTCTTGCCGCTTTCTTTGGCGCATAAACCACCCATCCCCTCACAAACCAAAGCTCGTTCTATTTCTCTCTCCTCTTCCTCTGCAGCGAAGACGAACAGGTTATGACAGTGGAAGACAGCTAGAGATAGCGAGGAAGAAACAAAGAAAGGACAGAAGAGGTAGCAGAGGTGTGAGAGAGAGAGAGAGAGAGAGAGAGGGGGAGCCCTTGGGATCTCCGATCTCCGACCTATGACCGATCCATTTACGAAGGTAGGGGTGTAAATTTTTGACAAGAACCGAAATACGACTCGAATTCGATCCTAAAAAATTCGGATTAGGGTCAACCGGATCCGAAATGGGTCGGATTCAGATTCAACAAATCAACAAGTTTGAAAAATTGGATTTGATTCGGGTTGACTCAGCAACCCAAAATTGATCCGAAATTGAAACGAAAACTCCTATTTGACCCGGAAATCCAAGATGTACCCGTTGTTGACCTGAAAACTTAATATTGACCCGAAAACTAGAAATTTTAGGTCAACTTCGGGTCATTCGTGTCGAGTCGGGTTGACCCGGACCCGAATCGGGTCGAATTCTGGTCTGGAAACCTGACCCGTTTTTAAAAACGGGTCGGGTTTAGATTGACCCGAATAGTGCCGGGTCAGTTCCGGGTTCGACCCGAACTCGACCCACTGACCCGAATTGACACCCCTATATGAAATTCTTAAGGCGTTTATGGATTAGAAATAAAAATTTAAACTAAAATATACCACACGTTTGATAGGAGAATTTTGGTCATATATCTTAATTAATTATGTAATTAGCGAAAATCTCATACGAGGAGGAGTAATTAAATCTCATGGATTAGAAGATAATCTTGTCAAGTCATAGAGAGATAAATTATTGGCAAATTAATAATTTTTTAAAGTATATTTCTATATTAATTAAAGATGTTTCTTTTTTAATAACTAAAAACTTTAAAACTAAGGCTTAACTTACCGATAATTACAAAATAATCTTCAATGTAGTTTAAGAAATAGAAATTCGTCATAAATTAATATAATTAGACTGATTTTCAAATTTAAAATTTTCTTAATATTAATGACAATAAGCATTAAGATGTGTTATCTTTGTTAGGAGTGATGAACTATTAAATATTAGAGATTTATTTACATCAAATTCAAATTCATATAATTTAAATATTTATTACCAAAAATTATTATATTCATACTTAACCACTCTCTCCTTCGTATCTCTCACGCAGTTGTAAAAAAAAAGTTGATTTATAAAACAGTAAGAGTCCCAAATGAAGCTTTAGGACGGCTTTCTTTCTACTTCTTTAAGCAAAATTTAATACAAAAATGAAAGCTGGTTTAAGAAGTCTTAGGCTTCGTTCGGGACGGCTTTCTTTTTGCTTTGTAAATCAGTTTTTTAGTAAAAAAAAAAATTTATACTAAAAAGTTGTTTTGAAAAGCAATAAGAATGTCGTCTAAACTAAGCCAGTCTTTCATCTTTGACATCTTTACAAAAATTATGTTTCATAACTGTTTTTTTTTTTTTTTTTTTTTTTTAAAAAAAAATTTTTTGTATTCTAAAAAATAAAATTTGGTCATTTTCTTTGCATTCTAAAAAAAAAAAAAAAAATTTAGGCCTCCTCAATCCTCATAGATAAAGACAAATCAAAAGATTTATTTATTGTTTAAAGCTAAACATCCATTTTAGCTTGGAAACCGAACAAACGTGTCAAAGTAGTTCATCGCTCTTGAATAAGACAAAATCTCCTTGTGAAATTCCTCACATAATATTTATTTGAATTTTTTTTTTTTTGAAAATTTAGGGGCATAGCCCATTTCCATAAATCAAGGACTAGTTACATGTGTAAAAGAAGAGAATAAAATGAAAAATAAATTACAAAATAAGGAACAATCCAAAATTTGAGACACAACTCTATGTGTATACAACATGCACAACAAAAACCTACAGGAGAGCAAAAAATGGTTAAAAACCATAGTCAAAGCAAGACCCTGAGGGGTAAATGGGCTAAGTAAAGAGAATTGCCAAATGAACCCTTTCCCCTAGTTGCAATAGAAGCCACTATAATGAAGGATACCAAAAAGATTGCCATCCAATGGGAATAAAAAGCAATTCGGACATCATTGCCCGCCAAAAATTGAAACCCATCAGCCAATCGGATAAGAGAGGCAGCATCCTGTTCAAAATGCCCCGACACATAACAACAATGCAAAGTCTAGCAGCAGCACAGAAAAAACTCATAATATAGCATTAAATCATATCAAATAGATATTCCGAGTTTCTCCATTTCGTGATTTTGGTGAAAACTGCTCTTTTAATCATATGGAAAACCGTAATGGAAGAGGCTTGTGAGTTCCCAAATTTCCTATTGTTCCTTTCTTTCCAGAGCATATACACTGAGCAGCTAACCATTAAGTTATAGAAAGGCCGGATCTTGATATGCAACACAGAAATGCTTTCAAACACTTAGAGGATATTTGGCCTTATCATGTGACTTCTTAGATGAGGCATCAAATTAGATATGATAGTAAAAGAGAAGTCACATTCATAAAATAAATGGATGGTGGATTCATTACATGTGTTACATAACGCACATTATGGGTTAACAGAAATTCCCCTCCTTAGCAAGTTGTCCACAGTATTTAGACCATCAATAAGAGCCATCCAACAGTACGTGGAGTAATGTAACGCATAGTATTTATGCCAAACAAAATGATGCCAGTTGACAGAAGTAAGCTGTCTATAATAATAATTTAAAAATTTATTGTGTCCAAATACTTCACCACCACCCCAATAAATACATACCGAATTGTCAACATGGATACCATTAAGAATATCAAGAAGAGAGGAAGTGTGAACGTACGGTACAATCCATCCATTATCTTTAAGAATAACTGCAAGTCTTACGTTAAGAGGGAAGAGGTCACGCAAGGGAAGCATACCAATAACCTCCTCAAATTTCTTTCCTCCGATCCAATGATCCCAATAAAGGGAGATTGAGAAATTGTGAAATACATTAAAATTGAACATCTCTTTAGCCCACACCACATGTTTACATAGAGATTTCCATGAGGAGGTAGCTTTTACTGGAGGAGATTTCCAAGGTGAAGTATATTTAAATAAGAGCCATTTGGAAATAAGATTGTCATTGTTATAAAAACTAGTAATCAACACATAATTATAGCTAAAATGAATAGCATGTAAAGATGGGAGATCAAGACCACCATGATGTTTTGGTTTGCATGTGTTTTTTCAAGAAATTAGTAACAATTTTTTGGCATTCAGATCTCCAAAGTAAATGAACTTAGCATTGAGTTTATCAATTTGTTTAATAATAGATTTCAATATAATAGATCCCCATATCTAATAAGCGATAGTATTCCGAGTGAGAAGCTCCAGAGAAAATCGCCTGTTTAATTTTAAGATTGGAGATAGGATTAGTGAGTGAGGCAGCCAGATCTAGCAGAATAATATCCCTAGGGGGAAAGAGGTTGATATCAAAATGGTGTTGTGGTTGACGATTAAAGAGATTTTGATAGTGAGAGATTATAGTATTAACAACATCTTTATAAGAAGAGGAAGAAGTAGACAAAGTGAGGGATAAGGCAATTTTCCTGTAATTTCTCCTTATCTAAATTTTAGAGAAAAGGAACTTAAGGTCATCTTCCCCATGTGAGATCCACTTAGTTTTGGCCCTTTGCATAATCCTTGAAGACTAATTTGAGGTGACAACATCAAGTTGGTGGCTAACATTCTTGAGGGAAAGAGTGATATCTTGATTGTTACAGTCCGTACTCAGGATATTGAAATTCATCATGCTTTGATGAAGAGCCTCCAGATGCATACCCATCATATTGGAATAACCCAATAATTTCCTTTAATAGCATATTTAGTTGCTTAAGCTTGTTATAAAGATCAACCATAAGCTGACCAATGGATTTAGCATAGAAGATGGGAATCAGAGTTAATCAAAGCTAATCAATTTTAGCCCAATAGTTCTTATAAAGGAATATGTGGTGGGAAATAATTATTTCCCCTGGTTGAAGCACAATAGGATAATGATTTGAGCAAGAAGGGCTTTTAACCACATAATGTGAGTTGGGAAAGGTTGCCAACCAATCATCATTAACCAACATACGGTCAAGCTTTATGAGAATAAACTTATCCAATATCTAATTGAACCAAGCATAAGGGTTCCCCATAGAAGCAAGTTCTTTAAGCTTAGTGTTAAAAATAAGAGTGTTGAAATCATGTAGATGACTCTGAAGTAAGGTATTTCTCCCAAGCCTATCAAATGGAAACCTACAATAATTGAAGTCTCCCATAATAATTCAAGAGTAGTCTGTAATAGGAGCAATAGATTTGATATCTTCCCAAAGTACTTTCCTCTCATCTTGATTATTGAATGCATAGATCATAGACAAGAGAAAAGGTTTCGAGGCACCATAAGCCACAGTGTCAGAGTTCATTTGAGAAGAAATGAATGAAGGATTAAAAGAAATCCTATCAAGTGACCATTTCATCTAGATTCTGCCCGAGCTAAAGTAGTGAAAATTATTGCAACTGTTCTCCAGATCAAACACAAAGTGATTGTTGAAGAAAATAGAAACAAAAAGAGCTAAGAGGTGAATCATATTTTCTAGTGAACATAACATATCTAGCCCTAGAGATTAGACCAAACACTTTATCAGAGCAGAAAAATCCCCTGATATTCCAGGCTGCAATGGAGGGACTGGTCTTTTATTTTTTGATGTTGGGTTTGGGGGTTTCCTGGAAGCTCTCCCCTTTGAGGATTTTTTTTTTTTTTTTTTTTTTGTGAAGGTGTAGTGGTTTCACGGTTTGAGGTGTCATGGGATTCACTGTAAGAGAAAGCAGAGGTTTCTAATGAAAGAGTGTCTTGCTCGGAGAGATTATTTTTGAGTGAGTCAAATTTATTTTGAGAAAGGACATTTATGGAGACTAGAGTAATTGGGGGCACTGTCTCCTGCCAATGCCAATTCCTCCTCTTCCCCCTCCAAAACTACCCAGAACCCCTCTAACATCTCCTATACTCCCTCCACCATCTTCTTAACACCACAAATTTCCAATAACATGCCATCCAACCCATCCACCTGATCTGCTAACCCTGTTGTTTCTGTCCACTCATATATCATCCCAAGCTCCACCATTAATAAATTTAACTCCTCTAACCAAATTTTTGCTTTAGAGGTTTAGTACCTACTTAGAAATAATAAAATATTTGATTTGCAA